CATCAGTTTTGCCGGTGGGTATCCAGTTGACTCGTGGGCAGCCGACCGATACGCCATCAGCAAAGCTGGTCCCATTCTGTCTGCCCCTCAACACAGTACTTAGCCAGTTCTTGTCCCAAGGTCCAATTAAAATTTTCTACCACAGCAGACTCAAAATTTCTGCCCTGGTCCGAGTGCAACTCGTGGGGCACACCAAACGAGAAGAAAAACTGGTTCACCAGCACCCTGGCAATAGTCGAGGCTTCCTTATTTTGAATGACATAAGCTTCTGGCCACTAAATGAAGTAATCCATGGCCACACAGATGTACCTATTCCCATCTGCAGTGAGTGGCATTGGTCCCTCAATATCCACTGCGAACCTTCTCCATTAGTGCACCTGCATGGCACAACTGCAGTAGGGCACGCGTGTGTAGCTTTGGTCCCTTCTTGGCTCGGCAAACATCGCATGACCGGCACCATTCTTCCACATCCTTACGCATGCCAACCCAGTAAAATCTTTGAGAGTGAATTCTTCACTCCCAGATGTCCACTGGTTGGATTATTGTGCATCTCCCTCAGGATCTCTGACCTTTCTTCCGGGGAAGTACTCTCTGCCAGTACATGTTGAGACCATCAGTAGTCACCCACTGGCGCTGCAGAAGACCATCCTTCAGCCGAAGAGTATCACACTGCGCCCAGTAGTTTTTAGTCGGAGCTTGATCCTTACAGGTAGGGAAGGAAAAATCTAAGCTCTTTACCACAGCCAAGAGTTCTTTTCTGGTCACACAATAATTTCTCTTTGGAGGGCTTAACTTCTTGCTGTAGTATGCCAACTACATACTCGATGTCATCCTTCTTCTGGGAGAGCACCCCACCGATGCCGTCATCACTAGCATCACAGTCCAAGATGAATGGTTGAGTTGGGTCTGGATATGGGAGCACCGGGGAGCTGGCCAAGGCATCCTTTAAATGGTCGAAGGAGCCTTGACTCTCAGTACTCCACTCAATTTCCGCCCCTTCTTAGTCAGCTTGTGCAACGGTGCTGCGACCGTGGCAAAGTTCTTAACAAATCAACGGTAGTAGGTACAAAGGCCAAGGAAACTACGCAGCTCCCTTATACAAGTTGGGTCTGTGAGTACTCCGTCTTCTCTTACTATATGTCCCAGTTATTGAACTTCCTTCTGGAACAAGTAACATTTCTTTGGGCTCAGTTTAAGGTGTGCAGTCCGGAACCGGCCAAACACTTCCGATAGCCTCCCCAGTTATTGCTAGAAAGTTTTGAAGACAATCACGTCGTCCAGATATACGAGTGCAGTCTTCCAGTGCAAGCCTTCCAGAACCCTTTCCATGAGGCATTCGAAGGTAGCTGGTGCACTGCATAGGTCGAATGGCTTAACTTTGAACTGCCATAGCCCTTACCCATATGCAAATGCTTACTTTTCCTTGTTTTCCTCAGCCATCTTCACCTGATGATAACCAGACTTCAAGTCGAGTGTTGAGAACCACTTGGCGCCTGTCAGAGCATTCAGTGTGTCACCGATTCTTGACAAGGGGCAAGGGGAATGGAGTCCTTCACCGTCACGTCATTGAGGGCGTGGTAGTCCACACAGCACTTCATTGAACCATCCTTCTTCCTCGCTAGGACGACTTCTGACGCCCCGGACTGTTGGACTTTTCGACCAGACGACCAAACATAGATGAATAAGGTCCCCACCGCCTTCTCCATTTCCTGTCGACGAGCTGGTGCTACCCTCTGAGACAGCAGCTTGATCGGGCGGTAATCACCAGTGTCGATGTGATGCTGTACCAGGTCTGCACATCCCAGGTCTAGATTACCTGCAGAAAAGACGTCCGTATACTTCAATAATAACTGTTCCAATTGTATCACTTGAGCCTCGTCTAGGCAAAGGGAGCTCCTGGCAAACGAGCTTCTGGCAAACAAGTCCTGCAAATGGTCGGGTAGACCATTCTTCCGCTTGACCACGCTCCTCATGCAGGTCCTGGGCTGCTGCTCCTGGTCGACCTCTTGGCACAGTCCAACGGCCACTCTCTGCTGTATTTTCTTTGGTCGGAGAGACAAATTGGCCACAATTACAGGCACCTCCTCTGCAGATGTATCGACAAAAGTTCTCCCCACCATCACTCCACCTTCTACTCCACAATGCTCATCAGGCTCCACCATTCCCAGACGGGTATGCAAGGCACTTTTCACAATGCAGGGCAACAGCATCTCTGATCTTGGGGGAATAACTACTGACAGCCTAGCTGTAACCTCAGCACTTGCATGCTTCACAGTCCTCAGCGGTACCCACTTTCTTGTAATATTCAGCTGCATCGAGCCAAGGTCCAGTTGACACCTGCAAGATAGGAGGTAGTCCAGACCCAGGATGCAAGGGTCTTCGGTATCCGCTACATAAACCTGTAGGGTTTCTTCTTCCCCTCCTAGCTTGATGCTGATATCCACTGGTCCTTTTCGCACTGAGTAGTGTCCAGTTATCCCACACAGCTGCTGCGACGTCTCAGGTAGTGTTTGATGAATAACCACGTCCGGCCTCACAAAAGTCTGCTTTGAGGCTGTGTCGATCACCAACGGACACCTTACGCCATCGATCTCTTCAACCTGGACACTGCTCACTGTGGCTCGGTTGCATTTCGTAAATGGTGGGGCTCTGGTGAGACAGGCTGGTAGTTGCCCCTCAGCACCAGCCATCTCTAGTTTCCCGTCTTAGTGGGCTGTTCTTCTTTACCTCTCTTGGAATTCTTGTGGGCACTTACTCTTGAAGTGGCCATCTTCCCCACACGTCCAACATCCTCTCTTCTCCACGTTCATCTCTGTATTGACACGATCTCGCTCTCGTTTCTGCTTGTAACAGTCCTCCTGTTTACGCCCAACCTTTTCGCAATACCAGCAGGTTCCTTTAAATCTCTCCGTCTCTTGTACTTGGCCCTTTCGTGCTTTAAACCCAGAGCTAGACTCCATCCTGAAGCTTGGTAAACTTGACCTCATTCAAGATTAAAACTCCAGGGCTCTAGCTAAAGCTTCCTGTAGAGTTGCCGGTTGGGACTGCTTCACCTGAATCTTGAGCTGCGTGCTGTCTCTGTAAATCTCAATTTGCTGCTTGGTTCCATACCTTCGTTCCAATACCTTTACCAGTGACACGTAACTGTTATGCTCTTCTCCTGTCAACTGGTTGATAACCTCCATAGACACACTCTTAAGACTCTTTGCTAATTGCACTGCACACTGCTTGTCGTCCCACCTGTTTTGTTCAGCAAGTAACTCTAACTGTTCTTGGTATGCTTTCCATGAGACCTTGCCATCGAATTCATGTGGTTTCTTCTTCACTGGTACTCTTGGTTAGTTCATCACTTCACTTGACGTAACAAGGGGTCTGAACTCGGGTGCTCTGTAATTTAACTCAGCACTTCCCTTTTCCACACGTTCATTGCATTTTCCAAAAATTTCAACACTATGCATTCCACTCGGAGCGTGCACAAACGATGTTTCACGCACACCGTCACAATTATAAGGGTCACTAAATCTTGGCTGATACCCTGCTGTTAGACAATTCTCCAGAGCTTGCATCCTGCAACTAACTTTCTGTAGCTCACTGTTCAACACCGTTAGCCACTCTAGTACCTTTGTGATTTCACCACTCACTTTTTGTTTGTGCTCTTTCAATTTTTCACCCACTTCTACTTGCACCTCATGAAACGCATCATTCGATCTGTTACACATAGCTTGCAACGCTTCACCCCTTTTCCTGAAATTTCTTGTCGATATCTTCCTGCAGCTGTTGTAGTTGTTGCTTCTGTTATTCTCTCTGTTCTTGCAATAATTGTCTCTGTTCTTCCTGCTAAGCTTGCAATAGCTGTTCTGTCCCCCTCGTTGTGATTGTAAGAATTGCATCAAATCAGCAATGGAAATATCCACTTGCCTGGCCTGGCTTACATCTGGTTTGTAAGGCGTGCAGAGTTCACACTATATAAATATACCAGAGGTCCTTAACACCTTTACCAGCACATCACACAACACTTCTTATTCCAGACCTGTACACCATCGCTAACACCTTTCTAGGCATCTTCGCTCAATTGCTCCTTATATCAACACAATTACCGTACTCCCTGTATCATCATGAGCTGAACCCTGTAACCCATATAATGAGGTGTCAGCCAATAACATGAAAACAAAATAATGATACATTTGGTTTGCATATTGCACAGAATTAAAAGACTAGCAAAAATAAAAATCATAAGTAAAATGTTAATAAATCATGTTAACAGCTACACTACATTTGTTTTGTATGCTCCATTGCATACATCATTACCATACTATATAGGCCTATCACTTTAACACTTTAACACTTCTTGCACCAGAGTGCATGTCTGTCACGTGGCGGCATTTTCAAACTGTGGTCCTAGTATTTTCCTATATTTCTTTCTCAGAAATTTGAAATTTCACCAGATTTTGCCAGATTTTGTCTGGTTCCATAATTTATTTATTTTTCACCAAGAGCTCTGAAATTTCACCATATTTCACTCATCTGGTGACGAATTTCACCACCTGGCAACACTACATACCAGATACAAGTTGCTTCATGCAACAGCAATATCGGGTGTGACTTGGGTTCTGTCACGTGATGTAATGTCACCAGTCGAAATATTTATGTTAACTTAGTTCATAATATCTTGAAACCCAAAAATGGTTTATGGGTATAGTGTTTTCGAGTTTTAACGATGACAAACATGATACTAGGATTATTTGTTTATTTGTGTGGTCTTTGTTTACAGTTACCAGCTGATGCTTGTGCGCATGCGTTATTCGTCAGCTCGGCCCAGCTGTCTAACTTGTGTTCGAATCTTTTGTAATAGTGTTGTAAAATTTGTAATGAATATCTCTTTGGACTATTTTTTTGTATTAATTACTATACTGTATGTTTATATAATATACAAAATTTAAGCATACTCGGAAATTTAAAAAAGCTATATGAGGTATTTAAGTTATGTTTTCCAATTCATCAGAGAAAACGAACACTGTCATTGACGTGAGCAAGTCTATCGGCCATAGGTGGTACGCAGTAGCTTGTTTTATAAGTAGTCTTTTATTGTCAACTCCTAGTCGATTATTTAGAATTGTTAAGTTAATGTACGTATATAACAATGAAGTACGGAATTAACACAACGTCTGACGAAACAGTGATAGACAGCATTGAAAAGGAACAGTTGACAGAAAGCAATGGAAGCAGGATAGCTCCGTTTATGGCAGCCTCTGCAGGGGAAGCACCCATGGCCAATTCTACTAAAGTAACTCCCAAGTGTGATGTTGATGCTGTTGTATTCTCTATTCAGTTCTATGGCAAGACACTTGGTGAGGTGGGGCTAATGGATCAAGACCTTGCCAAACTGGACTGGAAGAAATTTAAATCATATCTTGTAGGTATTTCTTGTAATCCACTACTGTTATGTGTCCGGTCACAGACCTTTACTTCCGCTGTTTGTTCGGCAGTCGTTCACATTGCTCTAGGCTGATGACATTGATAACTTAACATAACCAAACCTGGTAAATGTTACCTTTAGTCCTTTAATCTTCTAGCGATTCAAAAATATATTTTTCCTATGTATTTTGGGTAAATTTTTACCTTAGGACGTGAGTCCCTAGGGGTTGACCACTATGTTTTTCCAGTGTATTTTGGTGCGTTTTAAACGAATCTGTCCTTATTCTTTGGCGGAAATAGCTAGTATTTCCCCCTCCCCCAACGATAACAGGGGAGAGCCTGGAAAATCGGGGTTTTGGGTGGGGGAGAACACGAAAACGAGTCATCTAACCTAATCAAACCCACCTAACCTAACCTTTGGGCCGTGCCATGTCCGAAAGTACAATACCTTAATTAGAAGTTGAAGGACCAGGGATAGGTTCAGGGTCATCGACGTCCTCCTCATTGGACCCTTCTTCGAGTGGCACAGGTGTAGCACGTTCCTGGCGAGGGTGGTTTCTTGGACCTTGAGGTGGGTAGAGTCACGCTGTTGTGGTAAAGAACTGGTAGTGACAATCTGAACGGTGTTGATCCAGGAAGAGGTATCGCGCAAAATACTGCTGGAAGTACTCGCTCTTGGTCCACTACTTGACGTCACGCCACAAGCATTCTGGTTAGGGTCATCTTGTACCCAAGATAAATCGTACCCAAAAAAGTCAATCCGTACCCAAGATAAATTGTACCCAACTCTCGAGATAAGTCATACCCAAGATTGCTTGCACCCAATTCAAGAGATAATCCATACTATTAGTATTTATATACCATGCATTTTAGCTTTATCTATGATTACAAAAATAGATTATGTAAATCTTGTAGCAAAGTGTAGTGAAATAGGGAAATTTTATGCAGGTTTTAAAATGGTTGCTTCTCTTTACATAAGTATGTTAGTCTGTCACATAAACATTGCACTACAAGTACAGTCTCTCCTAGACTTACGACGGGGCTCCGTCCTAACTACCAGGTCGTAAGTCGAAAATGCGAAAATAAACATAGAAATTCTAAAATGAAATACAGTACAGTAAAAGAAATTAATAATGAAGAATGAATAAAGTGTTACTGTGCACTTACCTTTAATGTAGTCAGCTGAATGCACACGGGGCCTCAATAATTTTTTAATTGAGCTTGGAGACTACATTAATTGGATGAAGCAGAGGAGGAGACAGGGCTGGGTGGGTCATCAAGTTCGCTTTCTTCAGACAGGCTAATATACTTGCTTGTTGAAGGTATTGGATCATCTTTAGGGAGTGAAGAGGCAGCAGTGGTGGGGCGTGAGGAGACAGCAGTGGGGGACTTCTTAAAAAATATGTCCAATTTAGACTGCACAATTTAGCTTTTCTTTTCATTGTAAATCTCCCTGTAGTAAGCAAGTGCATCTCGGATCAGTCTGTCAACTTTTGCAAAATGCTCAACATTTTGATCCATTTCTTCAAACATTTGCATCCCCTTATTAATAGTAGCAAATGTCTCTGCCATTTGTTTCACTGAAAACTTTTTGGGGGGTGCAGGTTCATCTTTTACATTTTGTCTCTCTTCTTCCTCTGCAAATTTCTGTGCCTCCAGTTCAATAAGATCCTCGTTACTTAGCTCTTCTGCTACACTTTCAACTAACTGCTCAACATCTTCATTATCAATTTCTAACTCCAGCTGTTTACCCATCTGCACTATCTTGTTGCTAATCTCAGAAATTGCTTCATCTTCATTAAATCCTTTGAAACTGTTCACATATCTTTTCAGGACTTTCTTCCATATTCCATTCATGCACTGACCTATAACCTCATCCCAGGCTGCAGCTATGTTCTGTGTACATTGCAAAATGTTGTAGTCCTTCCAAAACTCTGAGCGTTTTCTCACCTTCAGTAGCAGCAATAGCCTGAGCGAAGGCCGTACGTAAATAATACGCTTTTAAAGCAGCAATAGCACCTTGATCCATGGGTTGGATGATAGAGGTAGTGTTAGGTGGAAGGTAGATTACCTTAACATCAGGGTGCAGGTTGTCCAGGTGTGGTGGGTGTCCTGGAGCATTATCTAAAATTAATAAAATCTTGAAGGCAACCCCTTGTTGCAGACAATACTCCATGGCTCGTGGAATGAAACAACTCGGGAACCAATCCTCAAACAGTGCTAGGGTCATCCATGCTTTCTTTTTACTGCAATAAAACACTGGCAGTGTGTGCTTGCTGACATTTTTGAAAGCCCTTGGGTTCTCTGAATGATATATCATGAAGGGTTTTACCTTGAAACCAGGTACATTCCCCCCCAACAGAAGTGTGATTCGATCCTTGAATGTCTTGAATCCTGGCATGGTTTTCACCTCTCTGTGGATGTATGTCTGTTCTGGCATGCGTTTCCAGAATAAGCCTGTTTCATCTACATTAAATATTTGCTCAGGCAAATAATTTCCCTCCACGATGACACTATCTAGCTCCTCCTTGAAAGCTTCAGCAGCATCCACATCAGCACTTGCTGCCTCTCCACTCACTTTTACACTGTGCAAATTGTAATGTTTCTTAAACCTTTGGAACCACTCATGACTTGCTGTGAAGTTTTGGTCACACTCATCTCCTGCCTGCTCTTTCAGGCTTTCGAAAAGGCTTCTTGCCTTAGTCTGTATGGTTAGAAGGCTTAAGGGTACACGCTTTTGCAGCTGATCATCCTTCCACATCACAAGTAATTTCTCCATCTCATGAAGAGGACCTTGTCTTTTTTTCGTTATTATTGTTCCCTTTATAGGTGCTGCTGCTTTCACTACCTTATGAATTCGTTCCTTGTCCTTCAAAATTGTTGATATCGTCGAGTGAGAGAAGCCAAGGTTGCGTGAAATTTTTGCTACCGTCTTTCCATTTTCATATTGCATTATTATTTCAATTTCATCTCAAAAGTAATTGACTGTCTCTTTTCTTCTCGGCATCACGAGAACTCTCACTTTTACGCTTGCCAGTCGTTTTAAAGGGAATTACTAAAAAAATTTTGTCAGTACACAGGGCGATCACCAGATAGTGTCTGGGTGAAGTATAATTTGTTTATATACTGAAGATATTTGTTTTAGCTCATAAAATTCATACAAATTACCCGGCCAGAATATAATTTACATTGCTGGAATTCTTATATGATTGTGATTATTCTAATGTAGACATCATGGAATTTGCATTAGACATACAAATTTTAGATCTAATGTAAGAATTTTGATTAGAAAGAACAAAAATTTTATCTTTTGTGCAAAATATATGACGTTTATATTCAAAATATTGCTGGTCTTGCAAGAAATCCAGCAATGTCAATTATATTATCCTAACTTCAGTCTGAGGTATTATTTATTACTAAAAATATAAGCCTACTGTTTTCACCCAAACATTTCTCAGAGAGGGAGGAGCCAGCGAGCTGGGAAGAGGGGGGGGGGGGGGGGAGTTGAGTCCATTATTTGAATGGACATTAACCGGCGACTGTATTTCTCTTAAATGTTAATTGTGTGTGCATATATATATATATTAGGGTGTGTCATACGGAGGCGAATTTTTTCTTTTTGAGTTTGAAAAATCGGCCCATGGTATTAATGATGTAGTTCTATGTGCAGAATCATGTGATATCTTCAGATTTGAAAAGTTTTCATTTTTTGCTAGGTAAATTTTAACTTGAAATCTTATGAAAATTCAGTATTCCCACCCTTTTACCAACACCACTAAATAGCTTATTTAAAGTAAAGTAAATGTATCAGGTTAATTTATTAGGATGAAAATGATCCAGAATAGTGAAACGAATGATCTTGACACATTTATTAAATTTAATATTCCTTTAGAAAACAAAATCATCAAATACAAAAACCGGTTTTACTACTACGACCCGGTGTTGCTGCACACCATAGAGAACATGTCTTTCTTGCTTCTGTTTCTACTCATCACCTCCCTGCTGACCACCTGAGCTCGGATGTAGCCTTCCCTCCTCTCCTGGCTGTACACGTGACTGCTGGCCTCGCTCACTTGCTGTACACAACGCTCTATACTCTGGGTGTGCGAGGGGCCAGGCAGGGACATGCATGGGGTTGTCCAGGAAAGCTCTGACTTGAACATTGTGAGGCTGCAGGTAAGAGGGGCTCACTGCCAGCCTAGATGTTATCCAGATCCTGAGATCAGTGAGGTCTGGTACCTAGATTGACTTCAGGAGTCTTCCTGACCCTGAAGGAATAAGTCACCAACTGATTCGCCATGCCCAGATCCTCTCATAAGTCCTCATATCCAAGATCTTTTTGACTGCCACTCTTCTCTCCTCCTCATCCTTACTGCAGAGCATTGTCTGCAGAACTGCCTCGGATGAGCATACCAGGAAGATCTCCTCACATCTGCTCCACAATCTGAACAACCTTCCTTGGCTGACTCCTCAGGAGCTCAAGCTGGAAGAGAACATGCCTCGGACCTTCGGAGAACGATGACTTGCCTTGGTGTTGAACCAATTTGGCAAGTAGACACTCACGATGAATTGGACAATAAGTCTCAGGTTGTGAAGCTGGTTCCCTTTCAGTTTATGATGAGTGACCCAAATTCTGCAGAACCTGAGAGCCGTTGTGAGCCACCTAGAATGTGAGACTGGACCTATCTGCAGGTAAGCAAGTCTATCAGGCATGACCCCAGTTTTGATGGCACTGCAAATCATGTAACCATAGTACTGGTCAGTACTCAGGTCGTCAATGACAGTATGTGCAAGCTCAACGAGTGGAGGGCCAACTGTGATTTTTTCAAAGCTCGGATTTATTTCTAACTCAGTGGCAGAGTCCAGCATCTTGCCAAGAGACCATCTGTTGTTTGAAAGAGTCTTGCCATCCAGCTCCTGGATCAGATGTCTGAGTGGCAACTCGTTGGTGTGGAGGTCACAAACAATCCAGACCAGCTTCCTCCCAATCTTCCGCTC